CTACGCAATTAAAAAAAAGCGCTTTTTGAGTATTTCTTTAAATCAGCTTGTATGGTTGCGATAAGTCTTCCAGAAAGCGCCAAATTCTTCTTCCAAAATTTAACAAACCAAACAATTCTGTTTAAGCTAGAAGTAATTGTAAAGCTCCACAAATTTAGGTGAAAGACTTATAAATTAACATAATAATATAAAGATTATATGAGTAAACGGCCTCATATGCGAGTTCTATTCAAATTTTTCTATCTTTAGCTGCCCAGTTTGTTGTAAACTTGCTGTGGCTGCTTTGTTTCAGCTTTCTAGCCATTTTTGCTTCAGACAAAAAATCTGGAATTTATTTTGCGGATGCCAGGAGAAGAAGAAGAAGAAAAATTCTACGGAACTTATTTCATGATTGTATATAGTCTTGTATTCATCAATTCATACACTTGCATATCGAATTACATATCAGATTACGTCATGACGGCTAGCCTGTCCAAAAGGGCTGTGTAATGAATTAACAAGTCGAGCAATTGTTGCATTACGTTGATCAGCTGTCCACGAACGACGTTCCTGCGCGAAAATTCGCATTCGCAAGGACTTTTGTTACACTCTCTCAAGTCTTCTACCAAAGCACTACTCACTCATTTGACTTTGAATTTTTTTCGTGCCCTTTAAAAGTCCATAAAATTGCTTTCATAATTTTCGAACGATTTTGCCATGCAAAATGTCAAGAACCCTTCAGCTGGAATTTTAGTATTTATCCGGCCTCAACATATTAGGATGGCTAAAAAATAATTTCGTTTTGACGTGAAAATCTCCATACAAACTTTCCTCGTTTTTATTTATTCTTCATTTTTTGTGGGTAAGTAGCTCAAGGTTTTTTCTATCACATATGAACTACTCAGAGTTTTAAATTCAGCATCTGTAGCAGCCGCAAAATCGACCGAAATTTATTAGCCAACCTAGTAATTGCGACACTTATTTTATTTTCCTCTAAAAGAGCTCTCGAAACTTTAGCATAGTTTAATATTTGCAAAATAAGAGCGACAAACAAAGGACCATCTATTGGCATCTACTACCATCAATTCCATCTTTACAGATATGGATTACAGTAGATACAAGACAGTTTTATGATGGCAAATAAATCTCCATTTTTCTTCGAAAAGTCTCTTATTCTAATTTTTATCCGATTAGATATTCAATGGATTTCTCGGCCATTGGTATCAATATGAAGCAGTTTTCAATGTCTAGGCTCTTCAATAAGGCAAGTTGGATATTTGCCAAAAAAATCAGAAAATTCTTGAGAAGCAAAAAATTGGATTTTTCATGTGTTAGATGTATACTTTAAAAAATTACATTCTTTCACTCGATTTGGATATGAGAAAAAATCCTCTGAGAGAGCTATGAACATTTTTTCGTAACAGAACTTATGTTACAACCTAATCGTTATGCAAAACATCACATTTTGGTATTTTTCCTATTCTCAGCACTACTCCAAGACTCATTTTCGCTTCATCCAGAGACCTCAGAGCGTCAATGTGTGAAAGCGCATCACACGAAACGGCACACATGAATATGTATGAGCTCTGAGGTCACTTTATCTGTCAACAGCAATAACCTGGGATTTTCTTCCATAACATTCTTGTGATCACACTGTCCAAGACCTTCTTAGTTTTTTTTTTACGCCTTGCCACATAAAGTTCTTGTTTTTATTAGATTTCAACTTGAGTATTGTGGAGAATAACTACTTGATAGTAACTGCTTATTGTAAATCCAACCAAATCGCTCGTTATATGCGATAATAAGCTACTGTTGTTTGTCTGAGCAATTAATTGTTGTATCGTATGACTATGAGCATATCTGTGCTATTTTGAGTTCTATTTTCGTCGACAAAAAACTTTGGTTTTTCAGAGTTGGGAAGCCGGGAGAAAAAAAGAATTAGAGCAAATTTGTGATTTCTGCGATTGATTCCTTCTGATTGTAAAATAATATGTCAGGTTGAAAAAATGTTGCTTTTATTTCTCGTCATGGCTTCGGAACAAGACAAATCCCCGAAACGTGCATGATACCATTCGATAGAGCAAGCATAAAAACCTTTAATTTTTCGATGTCTAGCCAAGAAAAAAATTATAACAACTGGCATATAAATGTTTGCTGAGGGACGTCTGTCCTTGGGTAAGTTGGAGGTCCGCTGAATTTTTTGGACGAAAATACGTATTTTTTTGATTTTTCTGTCATTTCAAACTTTTTGAATACGTCTTCAAACTCTATGTGAACTAAGCTTGGCGCAAAAGCACTAGTGCCAGTTTGTAAAGCTTGCTTTGCTCTATCAAATGGCATCCCATATACCTTTTTGGGGTTTGCCTTGCTGCGATGCCATGGCAAGAAAATAAAAAGCGACATTCTTTTCTTTCAAACCTAATATAAATTGCAAATATGTATCAGCTATTTTCGTATTAACAACTGATTGGAGGGGATTACAAATTTATCCATTTTCCTGGCGTAAAATTTATGCATTTGCTGAAAGGAAAAACTCGAAAAAATTACCGTTTCATGAGGAGTTTATGTAAAGGAGCAAGAGTTCCTTTCGGTCGCTGATAGGTTGAAGATCACATTGACAACAAGGAAGTCCCAATAGACTATAATAGTTCTATTTACATAAAAACCTTGAAGATGGTACTGCCCTTTCGCATTGTAAGGAAGAATTTGCGTGAATGTGGTATGTGTGTGTGCTGACATGATTTTGCAAATCGAAATGCTTACAATAGCACCGTGGTTTCCTCTATATTGGAGAAACGCTAAAATTTCATGAAGATTTAGATATGTCCAGACTATATGATGAAACTCAAGATTTTTTACAAGATGGACAATATAATGGTGACTATGCGATGTGCTCTAGCAATCGGCAAAATTGCAGTGGTACAGCAAAACGACAGGCAGTCTCCTACTCTCAACAAAATACGGTCAGTTAACAGAATAAGGGCAAAGAATTGAAGAGATAAATTTGCGTATGCTTGCTTCTATCAAATTCGAAAATTCGGTAATTATATTATTCTTTTCTACACATACAAAAAACTGATGAGACGAATTTTTTTGCGAAAATTTTTCTGGATTAAATGGCGTTTTTTATGAAACTGAATTTGTGAAAATGCTTGGAAAGCTTTAGTTCAGCATGGTTGTTGAATGAGACTTCGTTACTTTTGCTAGTTTACTAGATCTTTTTGTGCTAGTTTTTCTTAAACTGAGACGGCTTATCACTGCTTTTGTAAAGCGCAGCGTACAAGCTTGCATTGACAAATGAAGGGTATTTTTCTGTGCATTTTGGTCCCAATCATGATCAAAATTAGGGAATAAAGATTTATAATTTCAATTTTGACTGTTTGCCCATATAAACTTCTACGAAGGGAAAATAGTAGGCAAAAATCACCCTATGAAGAACGAATGCTGTACTATGTAGTAGTACTTTTGGTTCACCTTCAGGAGCATTATGCCCGACCCCACGCACAGATGGCATCTTCGCGCTCTTATGTGGTAGAAGTGAGTTTTCAACGTAATTCGGTAAACTTTAGAAAAGATAAAAATTCTAGAGGGTTCGGATCATTGTATATCATTTGCAGGACAGTCGATCTACAAAATGCCAACCACAAGTCGATGCTGTTTTACGAGCATGTCTTGCAGAATTTCTGGCTGTAAGTTGACAAATTTGGCATTATTATCGCCTTTAAGAATTCGGCTTTATCAACCTTGGAAATCGAGAGGAAAAAATGCTTTGTGTTGACTATACTGTGAAGGGGATGAAGAATTGTTATTGAACTTTTTCTTAAAACTGCGATAGATAAACGCTAATGAGCTAAAAGGACGAGGCTCATCTAGGCAAAAATCTCCCCCCCCCCCCCTCAGCTCATTCTGAGAATCGAAAAATTTCACTGGTACGATTACATTTAAGGTTTTTTTTTCAGGTATATGCGACTACATTCCTGTCTATATATCTAGATGATGAGCTCACAGATCGTCATACACCCTGGATTCAGAAACTTTCCCTGATGGCGCTGACTGACGCAATGTGCGCTACACTGTTTATCTCTGCCCTCAAAACGTAAAATATTTTCTCAGTTTTTGAATTGGTGATTTATTAGGTTGGTTAGAAATTAATCTCGTTTTGGCATAAAGAATCTCCATAAAAACTTTCCAAGTTGTTTTTTATCCATGATTTTTCGTGAGAAAGTAGCTTTAAGCTTCTCCTACCATATGTGAACTATTCAAGATTCGATTATCAGTAAGGGACAGTTAAATCTAATATGGCTAAATTTCCAGCTCAATTCTGTGACTTTCTAGGCTTCGTTTCCTTGCTGGAATGGATGTAGAGAACAGCAATTTGGTTTTAAATACAAACTTGCTTTACCTAGTTAGCGAATAACAATAAAGTGATCTTCCATTTCAAAATTCTTTGACTAAAAAGAAATTTTTCTCGTATTTGCGCACAGTGAGAAAACTGGGGTTTTTAGCTTCTTTGGTTCTTTCATTGAAATTTAAGTTCAGTTCAGATAGATTTTACATTTTAATTTCCATTAAAGTGCTCATTCCATACCGAATACTGAAAAAATGTGTGCAGTGTTTGTAGGAGCCTCAAAAGCAACCGAAATTATTTATTAGCCAACCTAATATTTTCATACTAATCATAAACTCTCTAGTTTATTTACAGAGTGCACTTCCATCCAGCTGTAAGTATTGCTCACTTATTTTCCCTCACAACATCGTGGTTGCACTGTTTATTCATAATAGCAATACAATTACTTGCTGCGACCTCAGCTAATTTGACAATCGTGGTTGGTATCATACATAAAACAAGCGAATTTTTAATCTGAAGTTTTAGCCAATGCGCAAAGATGGTCTGCCCTCTTACATTGTGGTGAATAGCGACATAAATGTGGACTGGACTAGAGCCGTATACAAGCTTGTGGGTTTGTTACTACAAATTATCGAACTGTGTCCAGAAGCAATGTATTTGAGCAAATTTTCAGATGTTCGCACAATTTCTGGGAACAGCACTCGTTGTAGTGGCACATCTCATGTCCTGCTCTTCCGTTAGAAAAAGTCGTGTGCGCATCGGAAGTTTGAACGAATGTCCATGGTCGCTTTTCATGGGAATATCACTGAGTTCACTTCTTAGGTAAGATCTTGAAGGAATTTTTCACTACACTCACCTTATTACTCAAAAATTGAGCAAAAATGTAATAGTTCTCAATCTGTCCTTGTTACCGGAAGGGAAGGATGTTTATGTTTATCCGAAGTGGCCTTTTGAGTTGAAATGCGCATTATCTTGAAGGGATTGAAACGCTGATTTCAAATCTGCCTTTATTGTCTTTTTGAAGAATATAAAAGAAAGACGATCTTAGTCTGAAATGTTATGATCTAATTACGAGCAAAAAAATGTAGCAAAACGCAAAAGCGTCATTTTTGCCGTTTTTTGAATTTTTCCATAGAAAAGCTCGATCAGCACATGTTTGGCACCATTAGAAAAGCAGCTCACAATTCCCCTAAGAAACATGGTCTTAGATTTTTCTGCAGCGTTTCAGATTTCTGACGTATTTTCAAAAATCTCAAGTTTATGGTTCCCCTGTTCGAATTTTTATCTCTGGAGTTTTTTGCCATCAAAGAGCAGAAAAGATATGGTTAGAAAACAGATGATTCGTTCTTTCTAATGCAATTTTTTATATGCAACTACGATGACATAAGGAGCAGTTACGAATTTTTTAAGATTGAAGCGACAAAACTTTTGATTCGACCTGATGTTTTCCCATTCTCACTAATCTTGAAAATACTCCTCGTAAAGTAAAGCTAATTTGTTTTTGCGTCTCACAAATTGTACCGTCCGTTTCTAGGAATTTGCATACTTGAATCTCCTTTTTAGTCTTCTCCATTCTACGTGCCATTGGAACTCGTTACAAGCGACCTCTATTGCTCTTTTGAGGTCTTTGAGCGGAAGAGCAACTGAAGCACTTCATGAACAGTACATATTCTGGCTTGGACCACTGATCGGCTCTTTGCTCGCTTGTTTCCTTTACAGGTAGTTCTAGTTCCACCACCCCAGAGTTATTGAACTTTGGGGTGCAGTATTACAAAAAAACTAATTAAGTAATTAGTAAGTAAGTTTTTAGTAATTTTTTTGAAGTAATTTTTTACTTTAGGTTACTGAAACCCAATGATGAACGAGGATGCACTAGCTTCAGTGGATATTGCAACGATACTCTCGAACCTGTTTGATCACTCTTTGATATTGTTTTCCGAGTCGGAAGTAGAATTGATGATAAATTCCGATTAATCTATCGAAACATGCTCGTCAGCGAAAACAGTGGAGACAGAGAGCTCAACGATCAACGAACCGAAAACTTCAAAATGAGCGATTAGGCACCGTTCCATTTACAGTGGAATCGATGAATCTACTGTTGATTGAGTTTCCATCTAGAAGCAATAATTCCTCAAGAAGCCTTTGTAACCTTGCTAGAAGCAGTTTGTGCTTCTTTTTTGCAAACAAAAAAGAAACTCTATGTGAACTCTATCATCACTGTAGCAGAAGCTTTGCGAAATTGCTGCTTCATAATATACAAACTTTCGCGGAACTCCCGTATTTCCAATTTCATCGTCTTGTTGTTCCAATCAGGTGAGATTTGAGAGCAAATAGGACATTGGAACAATGAGCCAAAGGTGCTCGATTGCTAGCTATTTGATAAGCTATCGCCGCGATTTCGTTGGAACCGGTCCTCAAAACAATATGGGCTGGACGATAGTTCAAGCACATGTGCATATGATTCTGATGATTAGAAACACTACAAATAAAATGAGGAAGTTGTGTTGTTTCTGAAGTAGATGTAAATACTTTGCTTGCAAATAGGAGGTTGGAACAATGAGCCAAAGGTGCAAGGGTTTGTTTGGTGCTCAAAAATCAGATCGATTAGCTGTTCAAAAATATATTTCAGGCGTTTCTCAAGAACAGCGTAGTTTAGAGGGGGGGGGGGTCTATTAGTCACATGAGAAAGTAGAAAGTCCTGAATTTCTGAAAAAATTTTTTCGATAAGAAGGGGAGAAAAAGAGTGATGGAAATCGGACGAAAATCACGCAGGTGAGATAGCACATCTGACAGTTGAAATGTTGAGTTGAAAAGCACATGTATTAAATGCACAACGCAAAAAATTCAGAATCAAACCTAAAGACGGTATATTTGTATTAATAAGTCGATGCGTAATTTCTTTTCGATGATTTCGTTCATTTCAATATGTTTATAGGAAGAAAGAAATGCACTTTTGATGATGCATAGAACATAAACCATTTTTGGTATATGGCGACAATACAAACTGCTGTTAAAACAAACGAGTTATAGAAATTGGTGTATCGAAAATTCTTACGGATGATTATTTTCCACGTTTCGGTTGACTGATTCGCTATTATGTACCAAAAACTATATTTACTGTACTAAGAAAGAGCATATTGTATGAATTTATTGATTCAATTGACCGAATTATTCGCATTTTTGGTGCGCGACTTATGCATTAAAACCCAGGGCTACACACAAATTTCATGTAACCTAAAATACAATGCAAATAACGGCCACCCAAATCTATCAGCCAATCCAACTAACTAGTCTTTTCAGAAAAAAGTTTTCTCACCTCTTTCTTTGCCAGGGTATGAAGTTCCTTGCATAATTAATTGAAGGAAATATCTAACAACCAGCTCCTAATACTTTATATGCTTTTTCCTTTCATTCTTTCTTTGCTTGCAAGATTGCTCAAGGAATTATCTCCACATAGCTTTGACGTGGACCATATACAATTCAATACCCTCGTACAGCATTGTACATTTTTTTGTCAATCAGGGAAGAGGAACTAACGATAAAAGAAAACAGAAGAAAATCAGCAATTTCTCTTCAGTCCTCACTGTCATTTCCATGTTGCCGCCGGCCAATGTGCGCTTGAGGTGATATTTGTTCCGCCCACAAAGTGCTTCACTTTCCCTCGATGCTACCTCTGTGGGTGTCAATCATTCCGGTTCTGAACGCTCATAATTTGGTTTGTATATTTTTAGTTCCTATAAAATTATTCATACAGGCTCATTGCAAAAAATCACAAAAAACAGCTCAAGTTTTTTCACAAAAAAATCAAAACCGCTGCTCTCAGAAAATACTTTCAAATAAAAATCAGTCATTTATTTCTCACCAGTTCGATACTCTTTTTTACAACAGAGGAACTAAGACTTCCTATCTAGACAAAGCTTAATACTTGCATTTCACTTACAACACATAATGAAGTTCAAACCGTTTGAATCTCTGAAAATTTTTATGTAAATCAAATCAGATTTCAGTACTTCGATAGGACAGTCCCAGATGAGGAAACCACCCTGAATGTGTTAGATTTCCATCGAGCTCGAGCTCTAGGCAGTTTTAATTTTGCTCCTGTAAACGACACAGCAATGTACAATGCAAAACGTTTCGAAGGAGATATCGGTTGCTTTTATTGCTTTTGACAAGATCCATTCAAAAGATAAGCAAAAATAACCTTTTTGTTTTAGTTAATGCAGGTTTTGATCCTCGTAGTGCAGCTTCATTCTACACTCAACATCCATTATTTTCCGTGTTTGGTGTACAAAGAAATGCTGTAAAGCAAACTTATTTGAAATGGACAGACGGTCGTATTCCTTATACGATAAGCTCGCAATATTCATCTTATAGGTTGGTCAATTTTATTTTTTATTTTCATTGAAGCTCTTTCTGTTGTCTACTGGAATTTTTGTGCATATTTCATTCAACCATTTATTTGATAACAAGGCTTGCTACATTCTAGACAATCAAAGAATTCACTTAGAGCCAGTGGCGTACCCAAGATCTCCGTTCGGGGGAAGGGGGGGGGGGACATAAACTTTCTCCTGATGAAGGTGCCTGGCGTTAGCCATGTACTCCCAAAATTTTTTTGGTATGCTTTCAAAAATTTTCACGAACCTATAACATCGAAATCTCGAAAAGGGAATGTGGCGTCGCCAGAAAAAATTTTTCAAAAATTTAAATATTTTTTAATCAGTTATAAGTATAAACTAATCAGTTGCACATTTTCATAACTACCCATCCCCGCTTGTTACGCCGGTGCTTAGGTATATTCACCAACAAAAAAAAACATCCCCTTGAATGAGCTAAAAGCTGAATAATTTTTCAAGAATAAAAAGGGATTGAGCTGGTTTGCATAGAAGAAATCGTTTTATTGGTCTCAAGGCTCAGTGGAGTCTTTTTCATATCTTGTTCATTACCAAGCCGTGTTTGTTATTTTTATGTTCGAGTGCTTCAAATTATATTTCTTCATTTTCAGCCGCTCAAAAATAGCGGAAGCAATAGAAGAGTACAAGAAAAAGACCTGCATAGAATTTTCTCCAAAAAGCGCAGCCGATCAGGACTACATCCACATTGTACCAGACGATGGATGCTACTCACTCGTTGGCCGTATAGGTACGGGTAATCCATTACACAATTATCCATCATATGTTTTTCCCGACTACTTTCACTATTTCTTGTTCATGTGCGCGTCAAGCGATTCGGCCCACTATTTCACTTTTTCTGCAACGCTAGCGTAATCATCGCTACGTAATACCGGATTAGGTTGCGTGATGCCGTTGGTTGTGTTGGCTTTTGTTGCAACTGGAATCGCTTGATGACCACTGACTATCGCTCCGAACTGGAATCATACGTCTATTTTCCTCGCATCGTTTCCCTATTGTGACTCATTGAACTGCGGTACAAGAGAGTATCAAAGACACCGTCTACCCCAGATTGAGGATTCTGAGATTTACAGGGTGTCCCAAAAAGATGTGCCTAGATTTTGATTGTTAATACATTGACGACAACGTGACCCACATGGTGAGTCATGCAATGTCTACCACTTGGGACTATGTGACCACATGGTGGTTCATGGCTTGAGTTTCGTTGAAAGACTGCTATTTCAGGATCTCGTTTCAAAAGTTCTCTTATGCCCTAAGCCTAGAAATTCTTCCTATGTTTCTCACCTGCTACATAGGAATTACTGAAGTGTACTGTAGTTGACGATCTGCATAATTTTAGCTAAAATTTTCGACTTAACCGTGGGAGGCAGTGTCCCAAGAGGTAGACAACTAAAAACGCAGTTGTCGTCAACTTTTTAATAACTCTCTTGCAATGAAGTCTTCCGAAAAGCTTTGGGTACCGTTTTTAGAGCTGGCTACAACTCAAAAAATAACACGATAAAAAAAACATGTTAGGACTGGTTCATTCTTTTTTTCGCCACGCACAGAAGATCGTCCCACAAAAAAAGACTAACAATATACAATATGAGTTTTTAGAATTTTTGCAAAAATCCTTTATCTAAATTGACCCAAACCCTCTTTCCTTACTGAGGGGTCCCGGAGAGGGTCAAACAAAAATTCGTCTTGAGAAAGGAACGAAACAGAAAATCATACATCTTGCTTTTCATTAGATTTACAGTATGGAGCGAATCACCAAGCGCTCTCCACTGTAGGATTACGGTAGAAATTCCAAGCATATCGTGTCACTGTGAAAAAAGCTGCCTTTTCAGAATTTTTGAAAAATAAAGTGAAAAATGGTGTAATAGGGTTATATCATGGACGCTGAGTTCAATACTCAACCACGTACATGATTGCGAAGCCTTTTAAAAGGTGTAACAGCACTTTTTAGGAACATTGAAGAAGCGGCCACTACTGCCTACCTTGCATAATTTAATGAAGATTATGATAAGTTGCGAAATTCACATTTAGAATCAGCAACTCTAATTAGCACAGTGTGAGAGTTTTCAGGCTGTTTTGTTTCCATTCTGAGGCAAAATATGGTCTTTCATGGCTCAAAACCCTCCTCGCAATTAGTACCGTAATCCTACACTAATGGAGAGAAGTCGGTAATCCGCTCCATACCCTAAATCCAGGTTGAAGCAGCACTACAAAATGGTTTCCAATCCTTCTCGAAAGACTTCACTGCAAGAGTGTTATTAACAATCAAATAATAGGCACATCTTTTTGGGACACCCTGTATAATACGTAGCAGCACCTACAATTAGGTAACAGCCCAATTCCCGCTGCGAATGATGAATCTTAAAGTGAGAAAATCGCTCCAGAAGATAGAAGGTGCCCAGGTGGCTCCACTCATCAAGGTCTGATCTGAAGATAATGAGCTCGAGAGCAGACTTTTGGGTAGACAGAATTGTCGAAAGGTAATTTCAATCAAGGGCAGATTTATGCCAACTATGCATTATAGCTCTTTCGACTTTTATCTTCGGACCATCCACGTTGATTGAGCCACCTAGGCCCCTTCTACTTTCTAGAATGTTTTTCTCGCTTTGGAATTCATCTTTTGCAGCAGGTCCCTCTATTATACAGCATCTAAATCTCACTAACCTTATCTGGACGGTGCCTTCAAGATTTGCGAGAAAGACACAGATTTGCAGGCGGAAAGCAACCAGTGAGTCTTGGCGATGGATGCATACAGAAGGGTATTATCATTCACGAGTTGATGCATGTGGTCGGATTCTTCCATGAACAAAGTTAGTTATTTATTCTACGAAACTTTAGAGCACTCAAGTCGGAAAGCACACCTCCAAACTACACTTGCCTACCATTGGTTCGCGCGCGTCCTGTCACGAATGTGAAAAGCACGACAGGTTCTGAATAAGCTAGAATTCGCAAGCGATAAAAGCGCTTTTATTTTAATTGTTTTGTCACCATATCACTGACAATCACGGTGAAGTTGTGCGCTCTGGTAGGTGATTCGAGAATCGATTAAAAATTTCTGTGATTAGTTTACAGTTCATTAAATTACCTCTCGTAACTATGCGCGTTCGTTGTTAATCAGAAGATGTAAAATTCTTCAGCTTTGCTTTCCTCAAGACGTAAAATTCTTCAGCTTTGCTTTCCTCAACCAGCGCTATTTCGAAAATCCACGACACTCGTGTTGTTGCAAATTTTGCGTTATTACCGTGATTTGGCACTAAATTTAGGTAGAGCTGATCGAGACGATCATGTCACTATCAACTGGAGCAATGTAGAATCCGGACTTCAAGGTGAGATTTGAAAAGTTTCCATCTTTTCTCAGCATTGCCGTTTCCAGACCAGTTCGACAAATATTCTTTGCAAATGATCGATCATCTGGATACCGACTATGATTATGGTTCTGTTATGCACTACGCACCTACAGCTTTCAGCAAGGTATGGTTCTTATGGTTTGATTTATCTTTTTGTTGAAATCTTTTCCACTTATCCTGAATCTTTCTGCTAGAAGCCGTATTTCATTATGCTGACTTGTGGCCATAGCGTTTGATCCAAAATTCTTCAAAGATTTCTCTTTTTCCAAAATACCTATTCTTCTATCTTACATATTCTTTCAAGCGAATCTAAGGAAGTTTTTTTTTAGATTATGAGCTTATCTTCTCCTACTAATATCAATAGTCGCCGTGTAGAGGAGTATAGAGCAGAATAACTTTTGGACGGCTGTGTGTGCGACTGCACACACCACACCTTTGAGCGATAAATCCAATTCTGTCTCTTTTGATCTCAAGAATTGTGTTATTGCATGGTTTTTATGGCTAATTTAGTATACAGTCTAGTGAAAATAGGAAACCATAATAGCCCCATAAGAAGGTAGACAAGAAATTCTTGTACTTTTCGCGCAATCACCACTTGAAAAGATTTGATTATAAACCTGGTAGGTTTGCTATCATGGACAACTGCTAAGAAGTGCATCAATTGCGCATTTCACTCTGAGTAGTCAGGGTGAGATCAGTGCTCGTATGGTGCAAATCGTAATACATTACAGAATTTGTGATGAATGTTACCTCTACCTCTACCTCTATCATCAAGTAAAAAATTCTCAGGAAGGAAAAATTCAGCATCCTTGTTCCCTTCACTATTTCTAACTAACAGATGGCAGTAAAAATAGGCTATAAAATAGTGCCAAGCCTCACACATGTAGCACAATAATGGACAGTGTCACCGCTGCGTTATCAAACGCTGATGAAGGGCTGTTTGGCAAACAATCTTTGTCGTGGCGTTTAGCAAAGGAAAACTCGGGCAAAGCTTTTATTGACCCGGAAAAATGATAATTTTCTTTCCTAGCGTAGAAAAATTTCCTCACAATCCTCGGTCACTATGTTGCAGCAAATCAAGAAAAACAAAACCTAAGGTTGTCAACGCTCGTATTACAAGCCATCTGGTACAGTCGCACAATTTCTCGAAATAGTGTATATAGGAGTTATCCTCAAATAGTAGTTCACATAGGGGGTTTTTATGTAAAAGGTTCTCTTATATAGGAGTTTTTTCTCATGAGTTTCCGGCTTCGGTGCTATGTCCAAAATATTTGATAGTGTTAGTGCAATTTTCGCTCCCACAATAACGAAATTCCAAAAAATTCTCTCCTAGAATGACGCTACGAAAAATTCTCAAAAAAAATAGTCAGTGTGCCGAATAACCCCATTTGACAGTCGTGGCATTTTCCATGATTTCAACCTCATTATTTGCAAGCATCTTGCGTTTCCTTGTTGGTGTAGATATCAAAAGTGAGTTTTTAAACAATCAAATCTCTTTGAGCTTTGTGCGAGAAGTAAACTCTTCAACATTAGCCAATAAAAAACTCACACTCCACCCAAATGCACAATTGCACCAAGTTACTAGTAAATTGATTGCTACTAAATCCTTCTTATACACAGCTCGTAGATTTATAAACTCAGAATGGCAAACCAACAATAGAGCCAAGAAAGAAAGGAGTGGAGATCGGTCAACGTTATGGATTCAGTGAGACGGACTTGTACAAAATCAACAAACTGTACAACTGCAAAAAGGATGGTATGTTCCATTATCTGAAATGTGTTGGATACTCGAATGATTTTAGATGAAGACTCTACGGATGTCCCGGAAACTGGAACGATAGAGAAGTCGGAGGAGGAGGAGGCAGATATTAAGACAGATACAAAGAGACCTAGCGGATCAGGAAAATTAGTCGGATCAAGTACTGGTGAAAAAAGCAACAGTATAATCTCCACTCATAGCAAAACCTGTGCAGATAGGTATCTTTTAGCTAGTGTTTTAGACTATCAAGTTAAAAAAAAACATTTAGACGACGCGATTGCCAATTCCTTGCCAGAGCTGGCCACTGCGAATCGCGATTTAGTGAAGCTTTCATGGCAGAAAACTGCCCTCAAAGTTGTGGAAAATGTGAAGTGAAAACCACGGAAGCTCCAAAACCTTGTGAAGACTTAAGGTGTCCAGTTTTTTCCATTCACTGACCATTTTAATCGTTAGCATTTCCAGAACATGGTGTGAACGATGGGCCATTAGTGGAATGTGCACGCAGCAGATATTTAAAGACTATATGAAAATTAAGTGCCCAAAGAGCTGTCAGTATTGCTAGAAATTCTGCTCAAAGTGTTGAAATGCCATTATACTAATTGTGATTATTGTACTCTACTGTCTTTCTTCGCTGTTTCTATTCGAGCAGCAATTCTAGTCACCGATGCTCATATATAGTCAAGGATTTTTTTTTTCACTTGAGAAAACGTGTATCTCCTTAGGCGAGACAATTGAAAGTCATATCTTTGGAAAAAAAAATGTTGTTTCTTTCTCAAAAATGCATGAGAAGATTGGAAAATCAAAAACTCACCATGTCATAAGTGAGATAAAAATCACATTGAAAAACTCTCTCTTCATTCTTCATATTTTCAGCTAAGGCTGCTGCATGGCGAAGGCGCAATATCTTCGGGCGCGAACACGGCTTTATTAGCCGTAGAGCGCAGAGGGCGCAGAATCTACAACGATGAGGATACGCGCGCGCCGCTTTTACGCCCGCTCAACTAGTACTGCTTCTGCGCCTTCGCCATGCATCGGCTTTGACTATCTCATCTATTCATTTTCTCTGTTCACCGTGATGTACTATAACATTGCTCAATCTTTTATAAAAACAATTTTTTTCATTGCTAACAACAGATCAGCAAATTCGCCTTGTGACTCAATAAATCCAACTTTAAGTGTTTACAGATAGAACTCTCCACTGTTCACAGCATAACTATATCACATTTGCAAGAGCCCGTGTTAACGGTTCGCGACGAAATTCACAGAAAACACCGATAGCGACATATTTCTCAGCCGGTATCACAAAACGGAGGAGAGAAAAGAGAGAAAATTCCTTGGCGATGTCGACAATAATTAAAATCTATACATATGATAAAATCTGTATGATACGAGACTTAGACTTAATATTTCGCGCATCGGCTCTTGAGGCAATGATGTAAGCAGCAATGGTAGATCATTCGGAATAAGTACGTAACATTACCTGAACAACTACGAAGAGAAATGCAGCAAAAGAAAATGCTCACACACATAATGCTAATGAGACACGTGGACGGCAATGAAGGATCCAACTCGCTAAGGGTATTCTGACTGGCAACCGACAAGAAAAGCAGAATGAAAGGAATGACAAGGAAGAGAAGAGAGAAATTGAATAAACACACTAATCACCTCGAACATTCACATATCACGAATGGAATTGGGCTGAAGGCGCGTTGCATACTAGCATTCAACAAAAGAGAGCATCAGAATCAACACACAATCGGGAACAATCACTACATCATTACAAAAAGGGAAGTGAAAATCTTAAGAGAACAATCAATATGAGCTAGAATACGGATAAGCGGTGCATAATTTTCATCTTATTAATGTGACCAGCACAGTGAACTTAAAGGACGCTGACAGCTAGATCTAAATGCTGCTCAACGCGCATTTTACAAGCTGAACTTTCGCTTAGCTGCACACAGCTCCAGTAGCCGTTTCATATCCCGCAGTTCCTGTTCGGACATCATCAGCAATTCCCTAAACCAGGAAAATATGATAAGGATCACTGAATACCGCATTAAATGCACCGTCCAACCAGATTCTCGACTTCCATGTTTTGATCGTTCAGGGGCCTTCTCATGTCCCTGATTCCGAATATGAAGTCGAGAATCCGCGAAAACCCGGACAGTGCCCGTTCCCAAGAACCCGCGGGCAGGCTTCCCGGAACGGTGATTGGATGAGCGCGCCGGATGGGCGGGGATTATCGAGGGGGGGGGGGGGGTGCCGACTGGGGTCCCCATGCATCTTCGCTATTCCGAAGCAGTTTTCTCGCTTCCGAAGCAATATTTTGCGCCGCGATTTGGGCACGGCTTGATAGGGGACCCTACTCATATGCTGTCAAAAGCTGAAGACCCTAAACTTAATGTCAAGAATTTCTGAGCAATTTGCGAATTATAAATCGAGATTTGAGAAACGGTCCAGAACATCAACAAGAGAAGGCATTCAACTTAGGTGGCTTTTTACAAAAATAGGTAGATATTTAGAATCAGAATGAAACCCCGGCTGCGTCATGCTGCTCCTAGCTGCGGCGCGTTATTCTAAAGCGATGAAATTTGCATGTTCATCAACTTGCTGACAATGGTATCATCATCATGAGGATTGGTCGTTCCGACATTGAAGCGTGGAAGTCTTTGAAACATTTAAATCCTTGTATTTATAAAAACTAACCGTTCTACAGACTCTTCCCGAACTTGATCGATCAGTTGGGCAAAAACTCCGGAAGAAACGAATTTCTCCAAGAATGTCATCTGTTCGGAGGGTGGCAACGAAAGGACTCCTTTGTGGTACTCATCAAACCGCGAGGCAACCCATTTGTATGCTTCTTGACGTGTAGTATGTCTATCAGCCCGTTTGAGGTAACTGAATTGGTTATGTCTACCGACTTTTGAGAACGGAAATGAAAATAGACTTACATTTCACATAAATGAATCTTGGCAATTTCCAAAGTGAATATCTGAGTGAATAGATTACGAGAGTTGGTGAGATCAGTGATGTGCTGCAAGAAAAAATTCATTTTGGTTCCGCAATGACGCCAGACACTCTACTAAGAAACGATAATACGGTAAGAGATTTAGAGCCAACCTGCACAGCTTTTTTGATAGACATTCTCTCAGCCCGATCATGCAAATCAGCAAATTCGACGGTCACTCCTCTATAGGATTTCTTTAGATCTTGAGATCTTCTAGTTAGCAACGTTCGCGCATTATTGGCTTCAGCGGATTCTGCGCCGTGCAGCTAAAATTTCAAATGAATGAGTCCCAAGGTATGTCGATTTTTGCAACTCACTTTGACTTCTTCGAGGAGTCGCGCATCTAATTGCTGCATTATCTCATCATTCCTCTTTTGCAAGGCCAGAAGTTTGTCGTCGCGGAATTTGATACCAACTATCGCATTTGCTTCCAAGATTCCTAAATTAGGCGGGATTTTTCTTTGAAACGGTTATAAAAACCACGTTTCTCGAAAGTTTCGTCAGATCTTTATACACACCTCCTCGAGACTCCTTGTCTGCGACCATGCTAATAAAACCGGGATTGATTTTGCTATCCAGGACTACCCAAGCTCCACCGCGTAGCTCGCCTTGGCATGGGATGTATATAATCACAGGCATACGGTACACCCTCAGTGCGTCGACTATTTGCGCGCCAAACTTGAGCACCATTTCGAACATATCTGGAAAAGACAGCTCTGACCTAGCAAAACTGGAAACCAAGACTAACAGAAGGACACAAAACTTACCACGCTGTCCACCCGAGAAGCCGCGCAACGATGCAATGAACAGAAGAGGAAGTCCTTCACGATTGAAATCTCCAATAACTTCGGCGGTTTTAAATGCCGAGTCTGGGTACCACACTTGTCCAGCCTGATGTATTTCGACGGACTGACTGTTTGGAGATGCGGGATCAGCGGGAGTGACGGACATCACATTCCGAAGTTCAGATGAAACAACTCCGATCGGGATTCCTCCAATTCGTGCCCTTCCAGCTAAATTGACCAGATAGTTATCAACAATAGCGGATGAACATTTGTGTAAGCTACCAATTATTGTCTTCGCCCAATCGTTCATGATCTCGTCGAACGAGTTAGAATCACAGATTCCGTGAGATTCCTCAGAATTGCGGCTATCAATAAGTTGTCGGATGTCGTACGGCTTGTTAGGTTCAATTGTAAACTTTACAGGTCGAGGTGCTGAGTCAAACCCGAGAGGCCGTCGATAAGGGAACGATGATATCTAAACACAGGTTAATCACGATTATGACAGCAACGGAGTATGATTTACTTGATACCTCATCAGGTAGGTAGCTCATCCACTGTATGATTTTGCAGATTCCTTCGAAATCATCATTAACCACAGCATGAGTCACTCCATTTTTATACATAATTTGTATGCCTCCAAGCTGGTTGTTTGATGTGTAGACCTGATAAAAACTTTCTATAAGCTCCAGATACTCCACAAATGATGAAGTACAAAAGAGGTTCAAAAACAAAGAACAATGGTAAGCATTTTGAGTCCATTACCTCTTTTCCTAGCAAAGTATTCAGAGCTGGTGCACCCGTAAGAATGAGATGAGATGATCGTGTCTATAAAAGCGCATGCATAGTGAAGAAAGTTCTGAAGGCGAGTAATTTTTATTACCTGGACAATGCGGTGAGCCAATCTAGCCGTATATGCGCCGATACCAACAGTTCTACCCGTGACAAGGCAATATGTGGGCACTTCTTCATATGCAGCTGACGTCTCTCCAGCTATCATACCAGATCCTTGCAAGTTTTCGACCCCGATGGTCTCATTCTGCAAGTGTGATTTAGTCAGAAAACGGTTCACGACACGCACAGACTGGACGCCGTTGCGTCCAGTCAAGATAGTTCGAGCATGGAAAAGACAACAGATGGTTAGAGAAGCGAAAGAGCGCTCGATCAGAGAGACGCTGATACGTCCGCAGTCTTTGCGTACTATGAACCTATATATAAGTTGGTTATAAACCTCCTCACCTGCTTCCCAATGACAGCCTTTAGTCGCAGCAATCCATTTGGTAACTTCTCATAGACTATTTGTTCTTTCAAAGATTCCTCCTCACTACCATCGACATACAGATAGTCGAAGCCTTCCTCAGGATGGCTGGGGTCCTAGATTATGAATGATAGAAAGTAAGAAACAAAGCGGGACCCTACGGTCTCAGCAAGCAGGATCGTACCTTGAACTTTGCCCGGAACACTTTCGAAACATCTTCGCACAATCCGATGCGAGCGCCAGAGTTACAGGAAACGTTCACACGAGGATACTATAAGAAAATGAAGGAAATTAGGCCCAAATATGAAGCGAGTAAAACAGAAACGTTTCACATACCTTATTCTTCCTACTATATTCAGATGCCAAGCTATACAGCATATCCTCTGGTGTAGCAAACGATCCCGACTGGAATGTTATGTCATTGGCAATCGCGATGATCGTGTATCCCAAAGGTTTTTCGGGTGTGAATAGCCTAAAAAGCAAAGCATACGAGAACACCATCGAACATATTGCTAAATGATTCTGATCCACTACCTCAATTGCCACGCAACCATTCCGGCTTCGTTGTTGCAGTTGTCAGCACGTTTCTTTAGTTCTTCTTTATCCGATATTCGCACGATAGCGTCATTCTTAACAAGCCATTTGAATTAAAAAAGCAGACTACAAGCACTAGAATGGAAACGTAAAACCACATACCTTCACTACTATTTCCTCCTCACTGAAAAACTGCCGGTAGTCGCCGTTGTGATATGCTGCACGTTGAGTTGGTGTTAACAAAGCGAATTGCCTAAGAATAACAGGAATATCCAATTATCGCAACAACAATTGGTGATGCAAGCGCATACTTTTCAAACAAGTTCTGCCCAGTTTTGTCGTTTTCAGACCGATCTTGGAGTTTCTTCCACTCTTCCAAACATGCGCGACCAATCAGTGTCGGATAATCATAGACGTAAGTGGTGCCATTAGCCCTGATCCAGATATCATATTGCAACGTATAGTCAAAGGCGATGAAAAAAGGTGTACCTTGTTGAAGATCGCTTCTTCTCTATCTTCTTTATTTTAGAGTGAGCATCAAGCTTATTGCCGTATAGCAGATGAGACAACTTTTGTGGATAAATGGCTGTCTAAAAGTACAAATTCTACGAATATGATAAGAAGAGGACTAGTCAAGAGCTGGTTACCTTATACTCGTCATAAATGCCGAATTCAGGTGTAACACCGGTCTCATCTAGGAACTTTACTCTTCTCTTCCAAAGCTGACGCACTTCGTCTTTCGCTCTCAGTTTGGAATAAACCACTTCAACCTACAAACAGGCGATGGCATTCAGTCCAAAACAACTTGTTCTGTTTACCTCCGTCACATGGTGTTTGTAAAGAACTTCGCGCTGCTCCTTGATGGCTTCCTCGAACAGGGAGTCCAAGTCATCCTGGTATTCACTCGTGAAAGTTGAAGCCAGTTTCGGGAACGTCACATACAGAAACACATGGTTCGACACATAGACATTCCTAAATGAGGCAAACATTTACTTTGGCGAAAAAGTCAGGTGGTCGTGGCAGCATCTACACAAGCATTCAATCTATTCGCAAATGATTACTCTACAACTGATTTGCGCTATCATGCAATAAACTACACAATATTCAATGCATTACCATAATCCATCACTGTTCCTGAAAGAACGCTTACCGTTAGCGCATATGACAAAGTGAAATTATAAAATCAAAAGCTGAATTAACTGACTTCTTGAAACTCCTCATGGCAACATTGATAGCTCCGCAAGCACTGTCGAGTTGTGCAGAGACGGTGTTTTCGACTTCTTCGAAGCTGAAAATATTCAATCAAAGTAGCAAATCGCTGAACATATTGCTACAAAATAACAAAAGCAACTATGATGTAGAATGAGAGGAATTTCAATGAAAGCACCCTTTTCAAAACCCAAAGAATAGAATGAGGAAAATTAAGATTCAACTCAGTTGGAAGTAACCCAAATGCTTGAGCATTAAATCGGAATGATCATGCATAAAGCGAAATAAACACAATAAAAGTAGGTTACCACATTTAGAACTTACAGAAGTCATTCCAATAGACAGATCAAACGATTACCGCTACAAAAGCATAGCAAAAAATGTAAGCTGACACAATCAGGACGGAAAAAAGATTTCAGAAACTAGTTTTGAAATCTAAATTAACAATTTTTGACTATTATGAAGCAATTTTACCTGTCTTCGACGGTACGGATGGGGATTTCAAGCATCTCGCGTACAAACAGTCTTGAGAAACGCTTGTCCGGATCATCATACTTGAACACGTTTAGGTTGGAAAGGCGATCAGAGACCAGCTGAGCTTCTGCAGGTAAACGCCACAATTCTAATCGTTCTGCTCCTAGTAGATCCACCTGTAAATTTCCAATACGATGACGTAGTTTACAGATGCAATTTATCACTCACCTGCGTTAAAGGTTTACATGGATTGCAAACAAGAACATGAGTGAGGATGTCAACAGCTGTAAGTTTTTTCGCTAAAGCATTGCGGATCACTTGAGAAGCATCTTCAGCTTCGGCAACGATCTGACAGTCACTCTCCGTGAACATTGGAAGCTCCTTGAACAGATATGTTAGCTCAATCTTACTTGCCTTAAGCCGCTTACTTCCAACTGAGCCTCACGATGACCCTCTTTAGACTTGTATGGAGCCGCTGGCTGGATAACATTCACTAGCAAGGTGACACGAAGCTGTGATCTTATTCCATTTGACTTGATTCCACATTCAGAGAACTTGCTCACAAGGGAATTGATCTGAGAGCAAACAATAATAGAAAGAGCCAGACTGATATCACATTTCAAACAAAAGAAGGTCTTACCAGATTCTCATGTGTGATCGCTTGTATGAAATTATCTCGATTGACGCTAAGCTTGACAACGGAAAGATACTGATTACTTTCTACGCTAGGGGAGATCATGTAGTGCCTAAAATCCAAATAATAACGAAGACCTAGGAAGTGAACAATAACTTACATAAGATTGGAATTGTCCACGAAGAAGTCATAAACTTTCGCGTCCTGATTTGCACAGTGTAAGGCTGTGCAAGTAACATCATCCACAGCAAAATGCAACCCGATATAAGCACGTATGGCGAAATCAGCCAGTTTGTCGTCAAAGAAGAACTCGTGAATAGCTTTGTGTGCCCATGGACTGGAGTTGAGCATCTCCTTTGGTGTCATTCCGCGATCCAACATCTGTCCAAAAAGGCCTTTGAGCTTTGCCACTGCGTCATCGACTGGCAGAACTTCTTTGACGTCTCTGTCAGCTAGGCTTATTTTTTCAATGTCCCAGACGATCTGCAATAGAGGTTTGGAGATGTTACAAGTACACTCAGCGTAGTCTCACCTTATTCAAGAATTTTCTGTATTTCACACGGCTGTTCTGCAAAAGAAGTTGTCTTGCTTGATTGCAGACTTCATCCGTGTGGAACATATTTCCAATGTCGCGTAGATTGTCCGCTAGTGGGGTCACCTAAACAAAAACTCAACACATTCCAAAATAGAAAAAACGAGACGCGCTACCAAATGCATGCCGCGTTTCTCGATTCCTTCCATCAGAGCCAACATGAATTTGTTCTTTCCTTTCAGCTGGGTGTGCGAGTAAATCATGGAAACAACACGATCCTTGTCTGATCCATACTAGAAAATACAACATATTAGTCAATAGTAGGAACCAACGGAAGATATATCCAGAGTAACAAACCTCTTCATTGAGCAAAGCAACAGCGTCGTCGTAAACGCGGCCTTCGAAAAACCTCTCACACTGCTTATATTCAGCTAACAGTGAGTTTAGCACATATGCAGTGTTAGACATCAGCCCATTTTCAAATCTGAACCGATATATACGTCGTCGTGCAGCACACAATAATGAAAGACAAAAAACAAATATGACTTACCTTTCACAGATATGGTATACCGTGTCGCAGACTGCCTTTGCCGTTTCCCACTCAGCATGACTCAAAGAGCCGAAGTAGTCGTCAAGTATGGCCTGAAGGTAAGAGAATCTGTTGTCTGTTGAAGTCTGTTGAAGGGCATGTGAAAGGGAGTAGAACTGACTTTGACTGCCGTGAAGTTGTTCATAGAGTCGATTTTCATAAGCTCCTTCATCTTCGCAGAATACTTCTCTGGAATTCGATTGACCATTGGATTGAGAGCTTGCTAAACGATAAGCATCAAATCTGCCTCCATGTAAAAAAGCATGAAAACTTACCTTGAACAAAGCATGAGGTAACGTCGTGCTTTCCAGGTTCGTGAACAATTCCTCTACGAGGTTCTTCATGCTTAAGTCAGCACCAGGAGGGATAGAGCCGTGGAGAACATTCATGCACATCTAAAGCAACTATTCATGTATGAAGAATAGAACAACAACTACTTACGTCAAGACAGTTACTGTGCTTCTTGGTTTCAGGTAGAACGCGCTCGATATCGGCAAACTCTGTCCACTCTGGGAAAGTCTCAAGGAAAGGTTTAGGCTTGTACTTCTCTCCATCTTTCTGATCGACAAGGCGAGCTATAACTGATCCCGGATACAGCAAATCGCCCTCTTTGGCGACATGTTCAAGTCTGGAATGATATGTATCAAGCAGTGAAGATTACAATAAATCAAAATCTGATGTACCTTCCAGGTGCCTTCTTCACTTCGACATTGAACACTAGTTTCATTGACTCAACGGAAGCATAGACTACACCAACACCCACCCATTCCTAAAGCATTTATTCGAGTACGATTGTCGTTAAGTAATGGAAAGTCTTTAGTACTAGCAGAAAAATGTAGCAAAAATAAACAGTCAAAAAGCATTAATCAGTATACTGATTTATCACGTTCTACCTTTAGCAGCATCAACATATTGATGCAACTATACAGCCGCGACCAAATAGAAACCAAAGGACCGGGAACTCAAAAAACATACTCTGTTTTGTTTCTTATATCCCAAGAGCTTTCCAGTATATGGCGACTTAAGAACTGTTGGATCATTGTCCTTTTCAAACACAACGATGGACCTTCCAATGGTAACCTGAAACAAAAGTTGAAAAGAATATGAAACACTGCAGAAGGTGTCATACCCTAAATTTGTCGGAGGTTTCCTCAAGATGACACGTGTAACTGCGCTCCTGATGGGTGACAAGCAAGCTGCCATCACCAAGCAAGCGAATCTCCACTTGGGTCTTACTGCCATTCAAGGTCACGATGTAATTTAGAGGTCCACTTCGAGTCACAGTCACTTTGTAAATGCTCATGTCTTTGACGAGATCGAAAAGGAATGTCTCAGTGAGATCCTTGGTAGGAATTACCTACAATAGCATCATTACTAGCGCTAATCCAAACTAATTCAAAAAACACACCTGTCCTCGTTCAACTGCGTTTTTGAAATTGTTGAAAGCTGTTGAGACCCGAGAGTGACCAATAACAGCACTACTAATGGCAATCATTTCATGACGTGGAAGTGGAGCTTTCTATAAGACAACATCTACGGTTACGGTTTATCAAAAAGAGAAGAGTAAACTTTTGTGACTTACTTGTAGGACTTTGTTGGCAATGCGGTTGTCAAGCCACTGCGTGTTGAAACGATTCTCTGTGAAGTCCGGCTCTTTGAGCATATCAACAAGATATGAGACCTGCGAGGCAAATGAAGCGCGCAACTCAAGTTCTTGGAGAGCGCACAACATCACTGACACCGCCTCGTGACTGCAAATGTTGAATATAATTACGAGTAGACAATGAATTCGAAGAATGGCGTAGAAAATATTCACCGAGTGCGACCTCTGGCAAAGAGATGCCCAAATTGAGAATCCGCAAACTCGTGGACTTTTCCAGCGCTAGAAACTGAGAAGTAACCCCAAACATTTTGCGCGGAACGGAAGTTGAGCACTTCAACAGATCCGGTCGATGGCCTGAAGAAGTCTTCCGGATCCTGGAATGGCAAAACAAAAGCTTCGACGAGATACAATGCTAGGCCATAATTAATAAAGGATCTGTATACTGGGAAGTGCATTCATTAACAGCACAGTGGTATGAAAACAATGAATATCGTATGCCAGAAATATATCCAGCTGATTCACCTCAGAAGTTATCCTAGCAGCTATTACACTATATTCCGTGTCCGTGAGCACAAGCTCATCTGGCAGAGGTGTAGTTCCGTACCGGTCAAGCCCTTGAAGAAATCACCATTAGAGGAGTGAAATGCCCTAATTAGCAATAAGTTATTACCGTAGAAAAGTCGAATATCGGTTATCCTGTTCAGAGGAAGACCCATAGCTATCTGCATTTGGATTGCAGGTATGTTTATGCTAGCGAGCATTTCGGTGCAAGGATGTTCGACCTAGAAGAAAGATAGTGAAATAAAAATAATGGAAAAGCCTCTTTGATTGCTTTACCTGCAACCTAGGGTTGAGTTCCAGGAAGAAATAGCGGTCTTCGTCTGGCAGATACATGTATTCAACGGTACCTGCTGATTCGTACCCCACCAATTTGGCAATTTTTACAGCATCCTAGAAAGAATCACTCAATACCGATAAGTGAGAGTCAGATAAACACATACCTCCTGCATTTTACGTAAGGTTTCCTTTGGAGCTATGCTAGCTGGTGCCTCTTCAATGATTTTCTGACACCGTCTTTGGATTGAGCAATCACGTGTGAATACAGGGATTACGTTTTCGTACCTGAATGATGTTGCATGAAGATGCTGTAACTTGAAGTTAGTACATGGAGAGCATGAAAAGTTTACCTATCGGCAATTAGTTGTACTTCTATGTGTCTTGCATTTTCTACGCATTTCATAATAAATATGGGCGATCCAGGCACCTCAGTCTGCACTTGAACGAAGTTTTCTTTGAAGTCGGCTTCATTCTTGCACTTGCGGATACCTTTACCACCTCCACCCTCAGATGCTTTGATCTGAAATTTATTGACTTTATGTACATCAAGAATAGGGGTGGAAGCATGATAGAAAGCATGATAAATTACTCCACAAGGTAACTATAAAAACCTAACTATCATGCCAGCTGTAGAAAGACTCAATATTCATGTAAATCAAGATGCCTTTCCCTATTAGCAATCGCGATGCCTCACTTCACAAATCATATGACAAGTTGTGTGTTTACTCAGCATTGAATTCTTGTTTTTTCTAACTTGTCTTGACACATTATCGTCTATAGAAACACTTCACACATGTGGAAGTGGTAGTAAAATACAATATTGTCGACGCTCTACAAGTTGGCAAGATAATATGATTTTCTTAGATTCAGACACTACATCGAAAACCTACCATTAGGGGGTACCCAATTTTGTGAACTTCGACAGCTCTTAGCCCCTCGTAGAGGTCAGATACTATGGCTTGGTTGAAGAGGTCTTGCGTGATCGTCACATGCTCGGCTTCTTTCGTGTCACTCAAATTCAGCTTTAGCCCGCTTCCAGACCATTCAATAGTTGGGATGTCCAAAGTCTAAAATCAAGAACAAATCATTTCGAGTCTCGCCGCACGTGGCGACACATAGCACTGTGCAAATGGGCGTTCTCTGGTCGATGTCGACCTCAAACACACAGAATTCTGCAGACCTGAGCAATGATTGTTGATGCGATCTTGTCTCCCAAAGAAAACATAGCACTGGCAGGTGGCCCGATGAAGACAATGCCACGAGCGGCTAGCTGCTTAGGGAGCTCTGGATTTTCTGAAGCATGTCCCCAACCTGCCCATACAGCGTCCACCTTAATATTCTCGCATTTCGAAGTGATAGAATAAATGGGTACACTGATCTTACCCCCTTTTCCACCGCATGATTGACAATCTCTTCAACGTTGGCATAGTTGTTCCTGTTATCTCCACCAGGTGAGAACACGAAGTGATCAGCAAGTTTCAGATACTCTACAAGTAAACGATTCACGGCGGGAAAGAGGATGGGAAGCAAAAAAGTTTGAGCGTTTAATTCAATTGATTACACACACACACACAAGGTCAACGTGAGGAATGGCGATTTGAGGAGATTGAGTTCAACAACAGTGCTCAAGCAAGCGTTCAGAACTATTGTCAACGATCGTCAACGAAACATGATGCATCAGAAGAAAATCAATTGCCTATTTTGAACAAAGTACACGGGAGGAAAAAAGTGAGTTGGCCTTTCAACTAAAGCATGTAATTATAGTAGGGCAAGGTCCAGAATACAAACGTGACTTTTTGGGGTTCGAGTTGAAAGAAGAAAGAGCAACTTTCAGAACCAAATTAGGCTTCTACGCAGGGAGTATTTGCATCTAAAACAATGGAAGACAATTAGGAGCACTACGTAAGAAAGAGGAAAATTTACTACATGATAAGAGAAAGAAAGGCGTTAACTTTAAAGCTTGACTTTCTGATGCCAACGACAATCACAAACATGCATTGCTACAATGCACTGAATACTAAGAAATGCGCTTCTTAGTGAATCTTAAGGAACAATCGGTAACATGAAAAAGTACGTATGAAAATATAGTGAACAAAGGCAATACGAAACGAAAATAAAGAAGATATAGATGTAAGAAATTTCAAATAAGTAGGAACTAACCAGCATTTGACCGAATCTCTTGCTCAGTTGTCAAACAAATGAATTTGATGATGCGATCATTGCGGAAAAGCTGCATGAGCAACTTTCGAATAGAAAGGATGCAACGAACAGCAGCAATACCATTAGTGGCAACCAGCATCTAACAAAAGCAGTATGTGCACTTTGCGAGTCTAACAAGAATTATTCAAAGCCACAACACCATTCAAACCTTTTTGATGGGTCGGCGTTTGCTGGGATCTTCTACATAAGTGTTAACAAAATCTTCAACTGTTTTGAACACCATGTCACCCTGGTCGAGTTTATCCTGGAAATAGGAACAGTTCAGTTAGAAACATATAAAGAATGATGACAGCAAATTATTTATAATAAACTAGTCAATTAGAAAATATTCAAAATGCATAGTAATCACCTTCAGGGAGCCACCCTGATAGTGGCTCATGTGGATGGTCCTTCGTTCCGGTCCACTCATATTGCTATGAGCCACACAGCCACTGTCGTTCCTGCAAGAATGCTTCAGCTTTGCCATCATCAGGCGACATTCAGCAGAACAAAATGCTGAGAGAAAGAAAAGGGCGGCATGATAACGAAGCATGAGGAGACCTCAGATATCTCACACCACCGACTCAGTTGATAAGCGGCGGAACCGGGAGAACGTTTTTGACGTGGTCGACATTTCTAAGGATAAGACGGCTGATGCGATGCGAGAAGAACCGATGAGTAGAGTTCTCGATGATTTTAATTAATCTATGCTATAAGTCGCGATAATATCGTCATTACAGTGTCTTCTTTGAGGAAGTATATAGGGGAAGTTGTCCAAGAAGCAAAACACTCCTCTTGATTGAACAAGACATTCAAAATACCAATGAGAACAGACAAGCATTTTCTATAAGCTACAGAATTCAATCGATAATGCAATTCCTCAATAAAAAGAAGTGTATGGACATTAAATCTAGCAAAAAGAAAACTGTAGACTCAAACAGAGCATGCTTTGCCCGAAAATTAAACCGATTTCGCTCAAAATCACCTGCCGAATTTCATGAAATGTCATATCATACAAACTTCGTGAGGTTAGATGGTCAAGGAAAGGTAGTTGTCGAACAGACGACCTTCAACAGTGACTCGCGGGAGCGCGGCCAGCGAAAGTGCGTCCGTCGGTGTTGGTGGGCGGCTGCGCTACTCCTAGATGAAACGATAGCAGCGAAGGAGGGTCATCGAGTCAGGCATTCGCACAATTGAAAACTTGTCATCTGTTAAAATAGCCCTACATGCCCTAATCAGACCCCCATAAACCAAACTGCGCAAGTAAGAAATACGTTTTAAGATAAGAAATGAAGTGCAAAGTCATACAGTAAACCGTCTCACCCAAAGATTTGAGAATAAAGTTATGAATGTTCTGCTGAGAAAGATACAGCTAGATGAACAAATCATGACAAATATCGAATTATTTCCATGAGATCTCATGTATATCTGGTAGCCAGACCTAGCTGAACCTGCAGGTGACCTGATCCACAGCTGATGACACCGCGGGGCACCACTTAGTGTTCGGGAACTCCAGTCCCGTGGTACACAAGCGGTTCCTTGGTAAAAGGGGACAACCTTCGCTAACATTCTGAGAAGATTTAAGGCTCATGGTTCAAAGTTCAAACGACTACTATACAAATATACAATAATAGACTGAAAAACATCTATGAACGAGAAACCTGAAGGGTATGCCACTTGAAGGTACAGATTTGTGCTACATTGTGATCTCTGCAAAACTGTAGCTGTGTTCAGTGTGGTAACCACAAATTTGTTGAATTCGAATAACAAGGTGATCACAAAGAATTCTCACACAGTCTGCTTATGTTCACAGGTTTAGTCAAGACTAGATGGAGCAAGGAGCGAAAAGAAAGGTTAAGAGTGATGATTCAATTACTCTAACAAGTTCTTGTTCGCGATGACACAGTTGACGAAGCGGTGTTCTGACATGTTCACACATCGAGAGTGTAAGCGGGTACAGCTGCACGCGATTGTGGTTTAATCAAGGGCAAAAAGAAGACAACAATTTTAAAGCACCATTACTATATAGTAGTGTACGATTAACACTACTACAACTGCATACAAAAAGAAAAACAGAGAGATAGCCTATGTCCACAAATTCATCTACCAGTTGTAGATGACCAAAGAAAAATCCCAAAGTTCTCAAAACCGAATAAAGAACAGATAAGCCCATTTGGAACTTCAAAAATCTGGCCTGATGCGAACAGGTCATACCGTGAAAACAGGCACCACCTCGCTTTATATGGGTCTGAGACGATATCAGGCCACGTGAACACGCAACCCAACTTAGTCAAAGATTTCCACTCAAGCTGATAAGGTATCAGTTTGTTTGTGATTGCATAGAAGGTTACGGATTAGATCAGCAGGAATAGAATGGTTCAAAGTCAGAAATGTTACAAAAAAGAACTCACAATGAACTAGCAGAATCGTCTAGTGATGAGCTGGTTTCCGGTGAAAATGCTGAAAAACTTTTATCAGTCGGTCATACATCGATAATGTTCTCACAGACTAACAAGAAAGATCTGTTCGTGCAAAAACGGATAATGAATCAAGAAGAATGGAAACATCACAAAAGAATGCAAACAAACTTTCATGTCTTTGTATCAATGAAGCTCTTATCTTGTGAATGGATAGCTCTATTCTAGGTGAGATAGTTTGTGAAAAAAAAAGCAGGAACTGATGAGGAGGAAGAAAGAAGGAAGATGCGAACAAACAGTTGCGTCCGCTTATTGCAAAGATCACATACAACACGCGTCACACTCAAAGGAGCGCCGATAGGCTACCACTCCGTCGAAACACTTCCAACATGTCCCGTTCCTTAGTGGCTACATTTCTCCAACACAGTCACGCTTTGGAAGATTTCATCACGATTAACTAATATATGAACACTCTCGATAAGCACCGCTAACCGTTGTGCATAGAAACAAGATTTACCATTGTAGCGCACAAACAACGGACATAACAATGCTACAGTTTACTGTGTTCTTTCAGCTCTGTGCTAATAACTTGACAGCCACAATTATCTTGGCTAGGGTCAATCGAAGAACGTCAGAGGTTTATCATAACGCGAGACATCAGACATCACCACTTGAAAGCTAGGAAATCAAAGAGTGAACATCCGTTATGCAATGAAATTAGTACAGAAAAGTCGTATACGTATTTGCGCGACATATGAACTATGGGAGTTTGAAACTTGACCTGCAGAATATTTACAGCTGTACGCTACGACACTTTAATACCGTGCAAAGGTATGTAAAACAGCAGAATTTATAGATACGAGCTAATTTTGCATAGAAACCCCTCTGTCCAACACAAATCTGAGACTCCGCTTCTAATGCCTAAGACATACTCCCAGCGATTCCGTCAAATCGCTACATCCACGCGACTTGGCGTTTTGCCAGATACCTACAGATTAAACGTGCGCTAATCAAATGCATAGGCGCGTACCTTTCGTAAGTTCTCGCAAGAATAACAAATCTGTCCCAAGCAAAGTGCGTTTACGAATAATGGCGGTCGGGCAGGAGGCAGCAAAGGCTCGCCGCTTCTGCTTATGGAAGTACCTGAGGAACTTCAGACTTCCTCGCGCCTCTAATTACTTCTTCGCACTTCTAATTATAGATGACCTATTCCAAATTGATCGTTGATTTCTCAAAACGTGGCAAGTTTTGAAATAGCTTTTATGTTCTAAATTCGTAGCAAGTAATATAGATAACAAGTTCAAAAAGGACTCATAAATAGCCATTCAATGTCAAATGATTCTAAAGTATGAATTTCTATTCAATCTTCAGACCAGAATCTCAAACATAAACATGTAAATCTTTCTCAGTTATTCCGACCGATCGAAGACAAGAACCTTGAAGAATTATTGCACTCGTCCTTTATTCTGCATCAGAATCAGTTCCTTCTGTTGCGAATTTTGGAGTAAAATTTCCTGAACCCAATATCCAAATAAGTTGAAATCGATTATAGCTGAGATTAGAAATTGCGAGAATCTCAAATTGATCCGGGGTGAGATACCTCCGAAAAGATTTTCGTTCAATTCTTCAACTTGTAAAGTATCGGTGTGAAAAATGATTAGAGGCGCGAGGAATCTGGAGCTCCCCAAGCGCTTCCGGAGGCAAATGCGGTAAGCCTTTGCTGCCTCCTGCATGACGTCCCGAATAATTATGAAAAGTTTTTGCAGTGCCGATCGCGCAGCGACAGGAATCGCGTAAGGTATGCCTTAGGCTTAAAGCAATATTGGCATACTGCAGTAGCCGTTAGTTTAGTGTGTGATTAGGCGAAAAAGGTATGATAGGTAGATATTAGTATGATAGTAGATATGAGTAAACCGAAGTAAAACTTTATAGAGAGCTTCCAGCGCCTCAACTTCCTGAGCTACCGCGTTTCGGCCCTATCACTATCCCGGTTTAGAAAAGGACCATTAAGGGGAATTTCAGCTAACTTCCCGCATTTCCTGGAAGAGAATTCCCCTGAAACTTCCACTTCAAAAATGGGATAAAGTTTTCAACCCTTGTCATAGTGGATCAAAAACGACAAGTCGTAGTAGTGCTACAGAGCAACTTCAGACAAAGCTTTAAAAAGTTTCCATAACAAAACAATTTCCATAATTTTACGAGCTCTACCAACTTCCCCTCCCACTCATCCTCGCGAAGCGAGCACTACAACCGAAAACCATCTCTGTTCCTCTTCTTGCTTTTAGATTGCCATTGCTCTACCCAGCGATAGATAATGAGCCATCGTTAAAAGCGCTAAAAAACATACACATACACAACTAAACCCTACAGTTACACAACGCTTTTAACAATATCGACACATGAATTTGCGTGTATATTCAGCGAAAGACAAGCTGACAACTCATGAATCAAGATCAAGAAATCTAGCAGGTATCAAGCAAGACACTGCGAACATGAAAGCACGTTTTTTCCTCGAGGAGTTTGTCTGGTGAGTGGAGCAAAGATCCAAGAAATATTGCAACATTGTCACGCGCTTTTTTTTGCTGATATAATACTGTTTACGAAATGAGAGAGAAGATGTGCGTATACACGTGCATGAGCGAATGAGTTTGCTAACTTGAGTGTGAAAAGACAGCTGGCTTGCGGGAGTAGAATAATGGGATGAAAGCTGGTAACAATAGCAAAATATATAGAAGAGGATTTAAGTCCTCTAGGGTCAGAGACATTCCTCAAAACATTAGAGAACCGTTGATTAAAGAACATGTTTCCACAGAGGTGAGGAAAAAAGTTGAGTCTCATGACGAATTTTGAGGAACATTTTGTAAAGGAACTGCAACAATAACACCCAAACTGCATATTTCTTTGGAGAGAACAGCGAGTAGGTGAGGTAGACATGAAAGGAACATCAAGATAAGGCAATAAATCGTGTTTAATCGATGTTTGAAAGGCTATCTCGCGTTGATCTAAGGAGAATAACTAGTTGCTACATAAGGTAAAAGTAACTTCAGTTAGCAAACCAGGAAAGTGAATTGATTACAACAAACCAGTTGCTTATTTTGCAACCAAAAGCGGAGAAGAGTGACCACTGGGAAGAGAAATAAACAGAAAAGTGCAAAATATTAAAAAGTTCACCTGTTCTCCTATTTTTATGTCTTCGGTTCCTAGGCTTGCGACCCATCGCAGATTGAGGACAGTTCAAGCTGGTATCCTTAAAAGTCGAATACCTAACAGATAAAAGAGGAAAATTTGCATTAGCAGATAACAAGCAAAAAGTGCGCAGGAATGCAAATGTACAACACAACTATTGAACAGTGCCTAGAAACAACTGGTAAGCGATTAACATAACGACAAAAAATGTACTTTGAAAAAAGAACTATAAATCAAAATAGGTTGCAAAGTAACAATGTCCTTGCACCGCCTGCTTCCTGGAGAATCCCGAAATTTGCAGAAATTACAGAGGTAGGCAATCGCGCCAGGACCGCGCATGCGCCAACGAAGAACAATCCTCCGGACTGGTTTCTGGAATTCTTTTACCGGAATATTCATAGTACACAAGATGACTTCTTGGAAGCTTTCAACGCATATTAGATACAAAGTGATAATCATAGTATGGGGTATAGTGCCTTTGAACTCCTGCACGAAAGAGCACGCGTACGCTTCCGACACCTAGCGATGAATGCGGAATGACTTGCACCAACTTCTAGTTTCATTTATTTCCATTTCAATTTCGCTTTTTATCCTTTTTTCAATTTTTTCAGTGCGAGATGCACTGAAAAAATTGAAAAAAGGATCAAAAGCGAGAAAGTTGGAGGAGAAGGGATGCTTGGTATAAAGGCCAAATGTACACAAACATAGTGTGGTTTTTGATGATTGCCCGAAAGGAGCTACTTTTTAAAAGCAAAGAAGAAACTTTGTGAAGGGATTGTTTGCCATATCGCGAAGACAGCGTCAGCCATGTATGACTTACAATACGGAAAAGAGAAAGTGTTAGTGTCCAGCGCACAACTTGGCATGAAAACAGAAGCTGCGTATCGTTCAAGTAGCATGAGAACCGGTTCGACTTTATCATGCAAGGATATTTTCAACCTTTTTACGTTTCTTCAAGTCCTCATACGAGAGCATATCAAAGACAAAGAACGAGGCGTATGCTGCATTATAAGACACTTGTGCGCTCCAGAGTCAATCTCGGCGCTGGTAGGTATATGATACTGCAGGTCCAACGCGCAGATTTCCCATCTTTTACAAGAAGAACAGAGAAGTTCCAGTAAGTTGCCACAAAACATATTTAGAACACATATTGGGTATATGCCCTTCTGAACCGCTTCGTCCTAGCGCTAATTACTCTGCCCGGGCGGCGCTAGTTACTGTGCCTTTCTTATAATCTGTAAGAGTTTTGCTAATGCTAGCGGTTCAAAAGGACCGTCTCCCACACATATTTTGATAATCACTGCCTTCGATAACCCTTGTGGGGAAATTCTTAGAGACATGTTTGAAATTTTTTCGAAAAGACTACCATTTTCGACAATACGACCCACGGATGGATCGATTTGACAAAGCGAAAAAGGAACGGCAGTACGAATCGGCCTTGTCGTGAATGTGTCAAGTCCTATCAATCGGTGAATGTGTATGGATGATACTGAACAAACTCTTTGAGCAGCATGTAACGGTGTATAACTCTGATTTAGCTATGGACTGCACGTCTTTAATGGATCAAATTATTAACCTGAGCGTACCTATACAAAAAGCACCATAAGAAGAATTTTGGTCTATAAGCAAAACGTCTGCGATCAAACTACTCGCTTTCCACGAACACCATTGAAATAGTCATAAAAGGAGTTTTATCGATCTTAGGTTCGAATAAAGAGGAGGCTGAGATGTCGAATAAAGGCAGTGGATCGGCAGAATGGACCCCTATCAGATTATGGTAGTTTCAGCTAGTATACCACCCAAGTACACTGTAGCCCCAATCCCACCCTCAATTCATGCGCTAAGTTCTGTAAAGGAGCTTCAAAACTCCACCACTCCCGCCCACTTACATTGAGTGGGCGTCATTGTTCAGCCAATAGAAGCAGAATAAATAATCATAGCTTTAAATAATCATAGCTTGAGTGTCATTTTTCAGAAACTCAAAACTATAAGGATTTATCCAATCAAGAAAAAGAATACTACACGGAGGGTAGAACTGACGTCGACTGCACAAAACACGGCGTCAAGTAGAGATCCGCAAGTCCTTTCGTGGCCGTTTTTGCAATTTTCGAGGTGCTTCATCTCATTTCTATTCATGAAAAGCATATAATAATGATGTGATCCATCATTTGGCACCCAGAACGAAAAAGAACTTTATGAGGTAATGCATGGAAGATGTTGCCACATTTGGTCCACAGTACTGCGTAGGATGCTTTTGACTCCATCGAACCCCTACCACCTCCCCACTTCAGCCCATCAAAGTTTTTGCTGATGTAAACGAAAGCTGAGTGACTTACAATATATACTGTGACAAAAAAACTCCTATTAGTGTGAAGAAGCAATAAAATTATGCTAGCTAGCGATATTTAACATCAATGTTTAGGAAACCATAACACTTAACTTGCGTAGTAGGTTGGCCAAAGTCCGTCGCACCATTCTTTGAAGATTTTTTTCGTAACTTTATGCTAGCATAAATTTGCCTTTGAAAAATTTTGTTGTAACGAAGAGATCGTGTAGTTTCTAATCGTAGGTTAAGTGCTTTCAATTGAGCGGAAGTCTCCGAGTGAAAACTGCAAGAAAAAGAACACTCAAATTTTGGCAATTTCGCCAAAATCTAAAAACTTTGAAAAGAAAACGCTCAGATAGACACGAAAGGTGTTTCTATGATTGCTGAACGAGTTCCTTAAAAAGGTGATCTTTGAGAAAGTTCAGCACGAATTTGCTCAACTGAAAAGAGGTGGTGTAAAACCTATTTTTGATGTTTCGGTTTCCGCTGTGACGTTCTAGAAATTTTTGAGCTTGCTAAAAAATGCCAACTTTGAGTTTTCTTCATTTGCTTCCAACTGTCGCATTTGTTCGTTTGATCCATGGCAAGGGTATAGTTGCAAAGCGCATAATTTCCGATTTTATATAAAAATGCTTTAAGAACTTTTTGTGGCCTTGCTTGAAAATCCCAATTTTGAGTGATATGCCGTTGATTTCTAGCTCCCGCATTTGCTCGCACTAGTTCACGACCGAGATAGTGCTGTAAAGAGCATGAATTCTACTTTCTAAAACAATTCCAAGGAAATCCATCAAGATGCAAGAAAGTTAGGACTTCTTCGCAAAAGGTGCGAACGAGCTGTCGGGTCAACCTGGTATTGGGTTGGTCCGAAAGTTCTGTCGCACCATTTTCAAAAAATAGTAATTTCTTCCTGCTACATTGTTTTTGCATGACTCTAATTTCATTAGTAGATTTAAACCGTGCACTTTCCAATGACACTTTGCACACTTTCAATAAACTCTGAAAGCAGCGATGAAATTGCAAAAGCGAGTTTTCAGGTTTGGAATTTTTAGGCATTTAAAAATTCCGAATCTGCCCCATGAAATCCCAAACAGCCAGTAACCTAGGTCTTTTGATCCCCTCTTTCTAGGTGAGCAGAATTCGCGCTGATCGAGCCCTTTTAAAAGGACTATAATATTTGGGAAAAAGTGCTAAAAAGTCAATTTTCTTGAGAAAGTGATTTTTTGGCGTTTTAAATTAAAATCATAACTTTTAGAAAAACACTATCAATGCGAGTCTAGCTCAGCTAGAAAAAGGGCATCAAAAATTCTAGGTTACTGGCTGTTTTGGATTTTTTGGCACAGCTTTGGAATCTCTAACGGGCTTGGCTCAAAATTCCAAACCTGAAGTGAATTCTTTTCCAATTTTATCTCCGCAATCAGAGCTCGCTAGAGGGTGTTTGAGAATTATAAGAAAAAAGCATGATTTACACTTTCTAAAAAATATTTAGCAAACAAAAATATTATGACCTGAAGAAGTTATGATTTGTTAATGATGCGACAAAACCAGCCTTACATATTGACCTGAGAAGCTGAAAATTTCAAAAGTTCAGTTTAGGCAGTTCACATAGAAAGGTTTTTACAAGTACTAAGACGCTTGGGCACAAAGATTGCTTCAGATGTTCCTTCAGCTCCTATTTATATTTACTCATCAAGAGTGTAGTTGCCATTGCTGACAGCTACTCTCTGATTCATTACGTTGGTATTTCCCTTGAATCTTCTATTACAGATAATTACTACTTTGCAAAGACAATGCCTGCTTTTGCAACTCAGACATCACAGAAAACACTGTGCGTTACTGGTTGATTCAATGTAGAGTCCAAAATCAAACCAATGTCTTGTACTAATGCTCTGCTTCTGGGTGCAATGAATGATTTGCTAAATTGCAGAGCGCTATGAAGAGATGAAGTCCAAACGCTGCAGTTGGGGAATCTGGACGACCAGGATCAAGCATGAGTCAGAATGTAAAAATCCTGGAAAAAATATTAGGTTGGCACATAAATAATGGAACTTTTTACATAACTTTTGTCTTTTTGAATGTATCGCATTCATCTTTTGGCAATATGAGAATTATGTATACTGCAGTTGCAAATTTTTTTGTTAAACTATATTATGTTAAGGGTTACAGTAGGTTTACAGTCAATGTAATTTTAGATTGCTCAGATTTTGCTGAAACTTGGCCGGTGGGGATCATCCGATATGATCACAAAAATGGGACCCATTTCACATGAAAAGAGGTTTCGTAAAGTCAAGAATGAATTTTCATCTTAGCGACTAATGGATGTAATATTCAGGGCTCGGGAGGTGGCTAGATGAAAATGGAAAACACGAAGTCCCCCTTGACTTTTGGGAATTTTTACGAGATCTCCTTTGACCCTCAACCAAATTTCCTCTAAAAACCTGAAAAATTCCCCAAAATCTCCCAAAAAACGAAACGTCGCCAAGTTGCCAACTTTGCGTCTCTCTTCGGTCACAAAAACGAAACCCCCTTTGCTTTTCGTCCCGAAAAACGATACCAGCTGGCTTACAAGCCACCTGTGCCGAGCCCTGGTAATATTCGTATTGACCATATTCGATCATCGTACTACGCAAAATTTAAGGCTGTTTTGAGGTTTCGCAGCTTAGTTATTGACAGATGACCGTCCAAATTTCGCGCTTTTGACTTGTTCAATTTCTCAAAGGAGCTATATCATGATTTGTCTTCAAA